AAGAAAAGAAAAACGATATCCTAACTGAATCACATAAATGCAGATATTGACCATTCTAGGTTTGCACAATGACTGATTTAGACTAGGAAAAGTCAAAAGGCCATAGTAGCACCAGTTTCACAATACATTAACTAAAGAAAATATTAAAAGAAAATGATTCCTTAACTTTAGAAAGAGAAAATATATAGTGCATAAGATTAAGTGAATGAAACATTACCAATTTGCAACCAAAATGAAAAACTCAGATATCTTCTTCTTTTCTAAATTTACAATGAATGAAATAATCACAAATCTTTCCCAAATATTTTCCTCTTACAAATTTACAATTTACGATAAATGAAAGAATCACAACATTCAAATAGATGCAGGAAGAAGAAAAAACCACAACCTGAACAACGAACCAATCTTAATTTGTTAAAACCGGGGGGTGTAGTTTTAATTTTTAAATTCTTTCTTACTTTTCTTGAGAACAGTACTTATATCATGGGTTTCTTTACTTCTAATTAGTAATTATAGCTAAATGTTCGTATTGTCTTTTACTTTACATTATTTTTTAATCAGATTTCTTGAACAAGGATCACTCTAACTCCTATCAATAAAAGTTATGATTTCCTATCTGAACATATTGGACTGTAAAAAAAACAAACTGTCATTTGGAATTTTAGATCTGAAAAGGATAATCTAAGCAATAACAAAAGATGAACATTAATAACATTAAATTGGGGACTAGTGTATATTACCATGAGAGCTGCACTTTTTAAGATACGATCCAAGCTTATCAGATGTATCTTTTACATCATCAGCTCCACTTAAGAATAAAGAATCTTCCAAACGAACTACACGTGGCCTCTTAGAACATAAACTACTACTACTACTCCTCGACACCTTTAATGATTTACGTTGCTGTACTCCTGGGCTTGAAGTGAACAAAAGACTTCTTTTGTTCCTACTTTCAAGATCTTCAGATGTGCCTTCACCATCCTTAGAAACTGCTCCATCAGGGATCTTATCCAAAGAAACAGAACCCACATCATTGATAGAGCTTGTCCCAGCTGGCATACCAACATTTATAGACCATTAGATCATTGAAGTATGGAAAGTGATGAAAGCAAAAATGACAGACAAGAAGATAATATGGCAGAGAGTCGTGTAAAATTATATAAAAGTTAACTCAGAGTGAAATCACATAGATTATGTGAGGCCAAAAGTACAACACTTAAAAAGTCTAAATAAAGCTAAGACTATGACAGTCCTTTCACAAGTGCAGTAGCCAGCTACCACTGCCATCCATCTACAGAAGTACGTTAAAAAAAAAAGATGTAATCTCTTCTTTAAGATTGACCAAATCCACCATATAGACCTTATTCCATGTTCAGAGTTCCAGCAGACGGTTGATCTAAACCGTCCTCCGAAAGCATAAGAAGAAATATATATATAATGTTTCTTCTTGTGCAAAAAGTTCGATGTTTCTGCTACCACATCCCAAGAGCATAATGTCCTTTTTATCGTACTTCTCTTTCAAAATAATAAAATACTAGACATATTTCATCAATAATGGAGAAACGCACGAGGATAAGACATCCTCACAAAACGCCTAGAGCTTACATAAACCACTTCAATTGGCGAAATCCACAGGAACACATTTATTGGAAGGAGTAGAACAGAAGTGGTGATATCTTCATGGGCCTACAGAAACTCATTGGTCTTCAACAATAATTGAACAGGTATTTTAAAAGTTATCCACACGTTTCATCCAATTACATACAACCAGTTAATCCAAAAGCAATGCGGAAAACTCTAAGCACTATAATGATTGCCATCTCTTTCATGAAACCCCAGCAGTCTCCAAATCACAGGTCGTGGCCAATTGGTAAGAACATGAAACCAGCTCCAAATCGAAAAGTAAACGGCAGTATTTCAGAAAAAAGTAAAGTTCTTTCACCTTTTTGACTACCGTACGAGCTAAAATGCTGAAATGAATAGCTTGGAGGGGCAGAAACGCGATCCGACTCGCACAACTCCACCTCCTCGATTGTTACCCCGGTTCTGACAGAGCCGTCTGGTCCCATGAGCTTCGGCGCCGCCACATCCACCGGATAAGTCAATTCTACAGCATCCATTACCGAACCCCTACCACAACCGAACTACGAACCGCAGACGATTCACTACAGCCGCCGCCAAACATCTTCAAGGACCCTAAAAGCCCCTCGAACGAAGACACCAATCTGTACACAGAGAAGACCATTTGAACATCCCACCAAACAGACTCGGATCAGAGAGTGAGTCCGGGAAAGTGAATTAGGTGCGAGAAAACGAAGGGAAAATGAGGAGAAACGGGAGTGTTGAGCATGTTGCGGCTAGAGTTGGAGAAATCAGAGTTTTTAGGGCACGAATTGGGAACAAAGTAACTATATATAGTTTTCGGGAAAATGTGTGTCATATTTGGAAACGGCCCGTCGACGGGGGAATATTCCGTTCCGTTCTCCGTCAAGAGGGTCGTCCGCGAATACCCACTTTGCGTGGAGATGGGGCTCGTTGTCTTTTACGGACCTTTACGTGGCATTATCCGTTAAATAATTAAATCAAAATATATAAATTATAAACAGATAAATTTGGCGTCCACCCAATTACCATTCGCCACGTATTGCTATCTCGTCGAGTAAATATACAAATATTCTAAATAAATCACACAGCGTCTCACTTTCTCACACATCTGTTCTAACCATTGTTCATTCAAAAAGAAAAAAAAGGGCTTTTGCAAATTTTTGAATTATAACCATTGTTTTCTTGTGTTTACATTTAAATAATATTAAATTTCTTAAATTATGAATTTAGTCCTAATTTGGTAAATCTTTTTCCTATAGCTCGTGATCAAGTTGAATTTAATTTTCCCTATTTTAACGATTTCAATTTCATCGATTTTAATTTCATCGTAAAAAAAACGATAAATAGTCATTATAACATTGTCAAATTTGACGAATCATTCACGTCATCATTGCATTTAATATGTGACAGATTTCATTTACGTCACAACGAGTTGGTTTGGATTTTTCATTGTAAAATTTATATTATGATTTACGCCAATTAAAAATAATATAGATTTCGTGAGATTTAAAGTAATTAAAAAAATAATTTGTTGATGTTCAATTAAATCTTAATAACGTGAGATTTAAAGTAAGTAAAAAATAATTTGTGATATTCAATAAACCTCAATAATGTGAGATTTGAAGTAAGTAAAAATTAATGGGTGATATTCAGTCAAACCTTAATAATCAATTGAAGTTAAATCCAACAATAACATTCTTGTTAAAATATTATTTAGATTTATATTTTGTTAGTCTTATTTATTAGATTGTCATAATATTTCCCCCGGAGAGTGACAACAAAAAAGTATTGAGATGATTAAAATAGGTAATAATATCGAAAAAATGATTATCTAGAAAAATAATCAAAATAACAAATCATGTTAATTCGAACACATCACAATTAATTAAGAAATGAAATAGTATCCTCTGAAGAAAGAAAAAAGAAAGAAAATAGTATATATATCTAGACCGGTATGCAATGAACATTATTCAGGACGCAGGCTAGTCCATTGGGCCCAATTGGGCCGGCCCGATAATCCATCGTGGCCCGGGACGATACGTCGTCGTTCCATGTCAACTAGTTCGGGAAATACGTATCTCCGACTCAGTCGTCTTCAACCGGCCACCTAGCGCTGCCGCTGTGTCGTTCCACATGACGAGCTTGTTCTGTATCTTGCCCTCTCTGCGTTCCCCAGCGAGTGCGATTACAAGGCGATTTACTTCGACTCACTGAGTCATGAAGTGCCAGAGCGTAGCGTGCATATGGTCAGGCACGCCTCTGTCCCACCGAGTCACCGCCACCGCCGTGCTGAGCCAGCCTCCGACTCTCTACACCGGCGGATCCGATGGCTCAATCATCTGGTGGAACTTGTCCTTCACCGATTCCAGCACGGTAACTCGAGTAGCTAAACTCGGCGTTTCATTATAATCTTTTGGACGATCATCTATCCAAGCAGAATTAAGATTCATTAATTAGTTTAGATCAGCTAAAACACTGCATTTAATTTATTTGCTTCAGCATTGTGATTCCGCTTAGATTGGTCAGCTGTTGGTGCTATTTTTTGCGTAACGGACCAAGCATTTCGCCTAATTGCATTTGTTTATGATGATTGCCTTGTTAAACTTTCGTGCAATTCTTCTTCTTGTTAAACTTTGATTCTAAATCATGTTGCTGGATAATCACTTCCCATCTCGATAGGAAATTAAACCGGTTGCTGTATTGTGTGGCCATGCTGCGACTATAGCCGATTTTGGCATTTGTTACCCTGTTATCTCGGGGACTGGTAAGACAGATATTTCAAGTAATGCCAAGGTGAACTCCACTTCAGAAATTTGTGGTGCTCTAGTAAGTGCGTGTTCTGATGGTGTGCTGTGCATTTGGAGCAGGAAAAGTGGACATTGCAGGTGCAGAAGAAAACTACCTGCTTGGGTTGGGAGTCCCTCCATGGTCTGTACGATTCCGTCAAAACCAAGATATGTATGCATTGGATGCTGTTTTGTTGATGGTGCTCATTCGTCTGATCAACACTCAGTTGATCCCGCTGAAGGGAGTGAGGTTCCAGCTGATAGAGAATATCAGCAGAAAAAGCATTTCAAATGCTCTGTCGTTATTATTGATACATATACTCTTACCATTGTTGAAACTATTGTGCACGGAAACTTATCTATTGGCTCCTTGAGGTATATGACCATAATCTCACCATTAACCGGTGAGGGGAATCATTCAGCAGTTTTATTTGATTCATTTGGTCGGTTGCAGATTGTTTCAATATCTAAGGAACATGACCAAGATAAGCTGGACGAAGTGAGCTTGCACAATAGTTCACACGTGGATATTCCTCTTTGGGCTGAGGTATTGAGCGAGAGAGGTCAGGTTTTGTCAGTTGCGACCCAACGCAATGCCATAGCCTTTTTGTTACCTGATCGTTGTGTTTTTAAGCTTTTACTCAGTGGTCTCACAGTTGGAGAGGTTACTTTCACGGATAGTCTTTTTGGTGTTAATCAACTTACCTCTTCAATTCATGTTGCTGGAGCAATGTTTCTTGATGATGGAGATGAATTGAATATCATGTATAATCAGGCATGCCATGAAACATTTGTAGAGAAATTTGCTGTCTGGAATTCTGGAGGTCATGCAGTTGTCTATATGATATCATTTACAAATAAGATATTTGAATACAAACCTCTTTATGAGATTCCTGCATCTTCTTATTCCTCAGATATGAGACCATCGATATCTTTCATTATGCTGAATCAACATTTCATCCGCATCCAGTCACTTAGCTCTCAAATTGAAGAGCCTTTTCATTGGTCTCCTAATATCACAATATGGTCACTACAAGGGAAACACCATGTTCAAGGAAAGTCAAACCTAAAATGCAGAATGGTTGCTAAAGCTAGTTCATTGGCAGAATGGATAACAGATTCCACTTGTCATGGTGAATTCGAAGAGAAATATACTATAAGAGATGAGTTGAATTTGCAGGACTCATCTGATTCTAGTTCTGAAAGTGTAAATGATTTATATTTAGGTCACAGTAACAGTTTTGTACAGAAGGGACAAATAGTATCTTCTTCTATGGTTATTTCTGACAGTTTATCAACTCCTTATGCAGTTGTTTATGGCTACTTTAGTGGTGACATACAAATTTTAAAACTTGATTTACTCCAAGGGCTATCTTCTCATAGAGAAAGCCCACACTATGAAGTGGATCATCATGCACCAGAACTATATCTTTCAGGGCACACGGGACCTGTACTATGTCTGGCAGTTCATTGGATAGCAGGCAAAGGTAATAAACAAGTTCTATTATCTGGAAGTATGGATTGCACCCTTCGTATATGGGATCTGGAATTTGGGAATCTTATCATGGTAATGCACCACCACGTGGCTCCTGTGAGGCAGATAATTCTTCCTCCTGCTTATACCGACCATCCTTGGAGTGATTGTTTTCTTTCAGTTGGGGAGGATTCTTGTGTTGCACTTGCATCCTTAGAGACTTTACAGGTGGAGAGAATGTTTCCTGGAAATCGCAATTATCCTGAAAAGGTTGTGTGGGATGGTGTTAGAGGTTATATTGCATGTATGTGCAGTAACCATTCCAGTACATCGGATACTGTGGATATATTGTATATTTGGGATGTTAAGACAGGTGCTCGTGAACGGGTTATTCGTGGGCCAGCTTCTCATTCGATGTTTGATTATTTCTGTAAAGGAATTGGCAAGAATTTGTCTGGCTCTGTCCTGAATGAAAATACCTCTGCTTCATCTTTACTGTTTACAACAGTAGAAGATGGGAGTCTTTCTGATTCTGTTTCAAGCTGTAGGAAATCCACTGATACATTAAAGTCAATGGAAAATCTGACAAATAAGGTAGAATCACATACTTCAAATGGACATGCTAGAAGACGAAACACTTCTAAATCATTTCTAAACTCTCTCTATAATTCTAAGAGTGGAAGGCACCCTATCAAGTGCTCCTGTCCCTTCCCTGGAATTGCTACAATAAGCTTCGATCTTACATCATTAATGTCTTTCAATCAGAAGTCTAAGTTAATAGCAAATGGGAATAATTTTCAAGATACTGCCATTCTGAAGGATCAGGAAGCTAAGATGTCAAGTCCCAGGGATAAGAAAATGGAAAATCCTTTGGTCCAAGAAATTTCAACTGAATACGTTGAAAAACTTAATTGGATTAGTTCATATGAAGAATGTTTAATTCGGTTTAGCTTGTCCTTTTTGCATGTATGGGACGTTGACAGTGATCTTGACGACTTGCTAGTAACTGACATGAAGTTGAGAAAACCAGAGAGTTTTATTGTAGCTTCTGGTTTGCAGGGGGATAAAGGTTCACTAACAGTGACATTTCCTGGTTTGAAAGCTGTTCTTGAGGTAGTTTGGATAATCTGTGTTGAATAATGGGGCATTTTCACATTTTATTCCTTGCAATATTTCTTCTGACTCTTGAAATTTGATTTCAGCTTTGGAAGTCATCTGCAGAATTTTGTGCCATGAGGTCACTCATGATTCTGTCTCTTGCTCAACATATGATTAGCTTGTTTCACTCAGGTTCATCTGCCAGCAGGTTGGAAAATTACAGCATTAACTGGTCTAGTAATTTAATTTTTTATTAGTAGAAAGTGTACCTATGCAATTATTTTTATCTGCAGAAGTTTCCTGACCATCAGTTTTAGGGAAATTAACTAGTACTCTACCTTGTATATTTGGTACCTCGAAAGCACATGAGATCTCTAATATCTCAATTATGTGATCTCAAAGGCCTTTACCATTACGCCAAACTGTTGGAGTTCAAAGCTTTGAACTGTTATCTCACCAAACACTTTGCATTAGAATGAAAAATAATTCAAAATTCTAGCAATCAAACCACCATAGGTTGGCTTAGTGAGCGTGTGAAAAAGGTAAAATAGATGTTGGGAGAATGGTTACAAACCCATGGGTCCACCTACCTAGTATATAAATGTTCTTTTTGAGTCTTATAAGTTATAACTACCAAATATATTGTAAGGTCAGACAATTGTATTATGAGATTATTTGAGGTGCACGTAAGCGAACCTAAACACGCACAAATAAAAATAAAAATACTAACACAATAGTTTTATTGCAAAATGAACCCCACACTCCTAGAACTAATAAGTAAACTTATCTATTTTTCTCCTGGCATACATGAAATGGATCAGCGACCTTCCATTTTATTCGCAAAGCCATGGTTCCATGTAAAGATATGATTGGCAAAAAGCTGAAATTAGTCTAAATATTAAGTAAAAAAGTTAAATCCAGAAGCTATATATACACATATCTTTTCTTGACTATACAAGTTGTTTCTGCCTGGTCATGTATGTTGTAGATTGTGGTTTTAAAAAATTGTGTGTAAAGTGATATCCCTGCAATTCTCTCCTCTTGGTTTTAAACTTTTATTAGCTGACGTGAACCATCTAGATTTGTTGATTTTTCACTCTGATTTTCTTTCTTTGCTTGCAGTGCATTAGCAGCATTCTATATGAGAAATTTTGTGGACAAAGTTCCAGATATAAAGCCACCTTTACTTCAGGTACATCTTTGCTTATTTTTCTCAATTCATATCTTGACCTGATAAACTTAATGTAATTATCTATTTCATTCTTACGATTAGAAAAAGGTAATTTTGCGTGAAATTATGAAGGGTCCAAAAAGATGTTGGCTAATTTCTATTCCATTTTCATTTTGGTGAGGTGGTGACTGGCTTTTATATGTTTAATGGAGTCTCTCTTCCTAATGGGTTATTATTACATGTACCAAAACGTTATAATTATCTTCTGACTATGGTACAGCGATGTTTAGTTTATCTATATATTGTTTTTTTATCTTTTGTAAGAACTACAAGTGCTGAAATATGTGAAGCAATTCCATACAGAACTTTCTAAAGAAATTTTAGTAAGGAATAGCTTAGAAATAAACATAATCATAAACTGGTTTAAGGTTTAAAATATGACATTTTTTATTGCCTTGATGATGGAGGGTATGGGATATGGTGTACACAATGAAGTTAAAATTTTGAAATGTTTACACTGGCTATAGTATCAGTGACACTCTTAGTGTATTATGCGTATTTTCTTTGATGATAATAAACGATGGAGACATGCTTGTTGGGTTAAATGTTCCAAATGTAGCATCTGTCTCTGGCTTGTTCATAAGATTTGATGAATACAATGAAATTGGAATTTTGAGCTTATATTCCAACATTTCTATTCGTAATGTTTTTGATTTACTTGATTCTGATCTTTCTTTGTAGCAAAAATATGACCAACGAAGTTAAGATGCAAACATTAAGTTCCAATACTTAACAATATTGAACATTTTCCTTTTCATACATCAACGAAAAGTTGTCTCTCGTTCAAAAAATGTTCCAATACTTAATTGAATTATAAATAATGAAATTATTTGACCCGTAGTTTTTCAAAACAAAAAAAAAAAATAATTAAAGATTCTATCATGATTGTTCATATATTTTTCAGATTTTAGTGAGCTTCTGGCAAGATGAAAGTGAACATGTACGTATGGCTGCTCGCTCTTTGTTCCATTGTGCAGCTTCACGTGCAATTCCACTACCACTAAGAGGTCAAAGATCAACCGAGCACGGAAGTGTAAGCCCAATTGGAGCTAGTGATGATGAACATGAGTGTTCAAATGTGAATGAGAAATCTGATAACATATTATGTTCTGACTGCATTCCTAAAAGTGAAGAGGTTTCTCAGGTTGAGGAATTCAATACACGCATCTGGCTAGAATCTTATGAAATGCAAGATTGGATTTCTTGTGTTGGAGGAACGAGCCAAGATGCAATGACTTCTCATATAATAATTGCTGGAGCACTGGCCATTTGGTACCGTAGTCTTGTGAAGAAAAACCTTCCAATGCTGGTTGTCCATTCATTAGTGAAGTTGGTGAAGTCTATGAATGGGAAATACAGTTCTGCTGCAGCAGAGCTCCTTGCAGAAGGTATGGAGAGCACTTGGAAAACGTGTCTGGGGAATGAAATTCCTCATCTTATTGAAGATATACTACTCCAGCTGGAATATGTGAGTGGTCCATCTGCAAATCAGTTAGTTCAAAGTTCGGCCCTTCCAGTGGGTATCCGGGAGACTTTGGTTGAAGTTCTTCTCCCAAAAATAGCAATGGCTGATATACCTGGATTCTTGACTGTAATAGAAAGTCAAATTTGGTCTACTGCATCTGATTCACCTGTTCATCTGGTGTCACTTAAGACACTGATCAGGGTTGTGCGTGGTTGTCCTAGAAATCTGGCGCCATATCTTGACAAGGTTTGTTCTAAATTCTATACTATTAATTGCACTGAAACCACGATTTCTCATGCATTTTCATGAAAATTTGTATTTTCTGGATTAGTATGAAGGACCTTTATCAGCTCTGAGTTATTGTTTTGGTGACGTCTTAACCTGACCTGAATAACTTTAGTCACTTCTAAACATCAGTATCTATAGCCAAGTAAGTTCCATGTTCCCTTCAAGAAATAGACGAGCACTCCTGAGATAAGTGGTTGAAGAACACTATGAACGAATAAATCCTACTTTCAAAAGATAACAAAATTACTGAAACAGGAGAGCATGTGCATTCTTTTCTGGAGTGGGATGAGATGGCCTTATGAATTTTAATGTTAAATTAAATGGGGGAATTTGGTTATTACAGGTTGTAATCTAAAGTCAGTGTACTTTCTTTGAACTTTTGAGAAACGAAACCTAACTAATTTTCGTTCCATAATTATTGCCTTTGAGATCTCATTTCATTTAACATTGCAGGCAGTTAACTTCATTTTACAAATCATGGAGCCCAGCAACTCAGTCATGCGCAAAATATGTTATCAGAGCTCAATGGCTGCTCTAAAGGAAGTGGTGCATGTCTTTCCCATGGTATCATTAAATGATTCATGGACCAGATTGGCAGTTGGTGATGTTATTGGAGAGATCAACAGTGCTAACATTCGCGTGTATGATCTACAAAGGTCAGAGCTAATAATTTTGTTACTGGGTTTGGTTTGGCAGTTTATTTTGGACAGTCATGTAGGCCTGCATCATACATGCCTTTTACTACCAACTATTTGATTTTATCATTATTTCAAGGATACGTTATGAGAAAAGATGAAAGCACTTTCTTGTTTGCATTTTTCGGTAATTGCAGCCTACAAGATTACAAAGCTGATGGAATCATCTGGAAAAGACTAAAAAGGGACACAATGATGAACAAAAGTTTCTATAATAAATCTAATACACTCCTAAACCATAAATGTAGGTGTAGTTTTGACACGATATTCAAGACTCTTTAATATTGTGTCAAAACTATACCAATTAAGACCATACCAAGTATCTCGTCAGTAGTCATAAAAATTTCCCATCTGCTGGAAGCCTTATAACTAATGCTCAAACCAAGTGGTTTAACCACATGTTTTCTTTTATCACATTATTTTTCAATAACAAGAATATAAAGTCTTGATGTAAGAATAATTAGAGTTATATTATCTAGTGGTCTGCATGCTTACACCTTCTAGTAATAAAACATGGGAACAATTGATCTTGTCAACTTAATTTATAAAAGTAGGCAGTAGTTGTCAACTTAACAGTTTGGAGAAATAAAAGAAAATAGCTCGACTCTAACAAGCAGAAACTATACAATTTTCTGCCTAATAACTGGCAATCGCCCCTAAAAGACAGCAATATTCCTATACCTCTGGAGAATTTTATAGAAACGCATTAAGAAGGCAGAAGAGGAGCGATTGGGTCTAGATTGAGGAGGCAACCTCAGTTCAGCTAGACTTTTACATTTTGATAGCCAGATGTTACCCTTTGATCGAGCCTCACCTATTCAATTTTATGCACTGCTTTTTATAGAGTCAGACAATTAATATTTCTAACAATCAACATTAAATCAAATTTGATTTATAAACAAATGTCTAAATTACAAAAATGTTGTGAGGATTAACTTTGCAAAACAATGTCTTGATTAAAAGAGATGTTCTGTGAATAGCCTTTTCCATGACAAATGTGAGGTTAAAATTGGAAAATACTTTGTTTATCAACTTTCCCATCCAGAGAAAGTTAACGGGTTTGGTGATGCAAGTTTATGAGGGTGTATGCTAGGTATCCAGCAATGAGACACACTCCTTTCATCCTGAAAAAATATGGTAACCTTATATTCGAATGGAACATACCATTTAAACAAGTGCAATGTTAAGGAGGTCGACAAAAACTAATTTGAGGTGTCACAAGTAAAGGTCTCTCTTGGAAGTAGCTAAAATCTGATTTGTTATTCTTGTATTTTATTATTGATTGCACCACTATGACATTATTTGTTTTAGTATTTCAGATGAATAATAAATGATTGATACCAGGAAAAAAAAAATGCTTGGTAATAAAACTCTGTTTCTTATCATGGAAAATATAACATTTTTATTGCCTATTGCATGATATGGTAATTGACAAGGTTCCTTTGGAACTAAGACATTGTTTTGCATCTTATGATTGTTCGTTCTTTTTGCCCCCAAGGGATAGCCCGGTTAGTAAAGGCTTGGACTTGTGGTCTCTTGGTCATACTGGCTTAGAGGTCAAGTTTGAACCTTTTGGTGAGCTTAATACCAAAAATCCTTGATGTCTCTCGGATCCGGGCCTTGGGGTGGATGCGGGTGCCCCTGGGTATAGGGGAGCAAAACTCCCACTCCCAATTATAAAAAAAGAAAGAAATGATTGTTTGTTCTTTTTCTTTTTGGAGGTTATCAAGGAGTTGAGATCACCTGAATGTATTATCCTTTTTTTTTCTTTTCCGGAAACAGTGTTACAAAGATTAAGGTTTTGGATGCAAGTGGACCTCCTGGACTTCCAAGCTTGCTTGCAGCAGGGTCAGAAATGGCTGTAAGGACCTCAATATCAGCTTTGAGCTTTTCCCCTGATGGAGAGGTATGTGTTACTGTTCCATAGTAATAGATTAATAATCCTCTGGAGTCTCGATATCGTTGTGGAAAATAAAATTTATTCCTATGACTGACTGACGATCTTCTCCATTGATCCTTGTATAATTTTGGATAAGAGAATTTTCAATTTTGTTAGTTACGCCTGTCAAGTGTTTATAATTTGAAATCTGATCCTTATCAAGTCCCTATGAGAAATAAGGATTGGGACTAGTTTTTCTTAGATACCTTCAGTTTTGTTAGTTACCCGTGTCAAGTGTTTATAATTTGAAATCCGATCCTTCAAGTCCCAACGAAAAATAAGGATTGGGACTAGCTTTTCTTCTATCTTTGCTCGAAAGTCAGTTTTGTGTGTGGAACAACCCTACATATTCAAGTTTGATTGCAAAGTCTTCTGTGTCAATTTCGATAAGACAGGTAATCTTATTAGATTGCAGTAAAGAAGCGCATCATACTAATTGTGGATTAAGTTTGACGTAGGCAGCCGTTCATGTTTAGTATAGTATAAACTGACGGATATGTTTTCTTCACTACTGAAGTCGGGTTAGCAAACATATAAGCTTGAGCTTAATTTACTGGTTAATAATAACATGCCCTTTCCATAAACTTATTAGATTGGCGATAGTTGTATAACGGAGTACTTTATGATTCCAAGTTGAAGTGTTGTAGAGGTTTTACTTTCAAGATGGTTTGATGATTTTTAGGCAGAAACAGGACAATTTATTGGAAACTAATTTTTGTGTTTTGAAGGATTCACAGAGGTTATGAAGGCAATGATACCTCTTAAAAGAGATGTGATAGATAAATGAATTAACAAGGCAAGAGGCTGCCAAAATAAAACAAGTCGGAAAAAAATATTCGTATTTGGTAGAAATCATAGCTGTAAGAAATTACCAAAGTGCCTATCACCATCCATACCCGAGATCTTCAAATATCATCAAGGAACTGATGGAGTACTGCTCACCACCTAAATTTGATAGGCAGTTGGAAATGGCTAACTAATGCATGTCATATTGCTTCACTTTTTCTTTATAACATTTGGTTCTCCACTGTTAGAGTGTGCTTGTTAAAGTTGTTCAATTGTATGAATTTCAGGGGGTGGTTGCCTTTTCTGAGCATGGCTTAATGATACGATGGTGGTCATTGGGATCTGTATGGTGGGAGAAACTAAGCCGCAACTTTGTTCCTGTTCAATGCACCAAAGCGATATTTGTTCCTCCATGGGAGGGATTCTCGCCTAATTCTTCAAGGTTAAGTATAATGGCGAGTGCAATGGAAGGTGATAGGCAAGTGGATGTGCAGGTAATTTCTTCCCTTTGGTGATACGCAAATAAAATCTATATTCCTACATTCAATTTCTTTTTACCTCAGGTTTAATGGAATTTAAAGTATTTCTTGAGTTTTGTATGGTTTTTTAATATTACATTTTTATAGCAATCTGGGTCAATGATACATTGGGAAGTACACTAACTCTTCATGCAAATTACTGGAGATTGTGGAATTTTATTTCTACGTTGGCAAACACCTCTTTTTATTGGTTATTTTCCTGGCTGGTTAATCCCACATTCTTTGCTAAAATGTAGGATGGTTTTGGTCCCCTCTGCTATATGTAATAGATCTGTTTGGTTCTTTAAAATTGCTATTTTTCAGCATTGTATGTCTATGTTTTGAAATACCAAGCACCATAAGATGACTAGATTTCCTTTCACAGGACAATGTAAGGGGTTTGAGTCATGCCGACATTTTGAAGATTTTGATTCATAGTCTTGATCTTTCTTATCGGCTTGAATGGACTGAAGAACGGAAAGTAAAACTCAGAAGGCATGGCAACGAGTTGGGAACTTTTCAAATATAAGCATACTTTTGTGCAAATTCAATTGGCATTGGCGAGGCCTTTCAAGAAACATCCTTGGATATTCAGACTAGGAAGTGTCTTAGAACCATCATGAACTTCCCGGTTGCAGTCCTCATGCTTTGTTTATCAATATCTCAAAGCTTTTGCGCTGTGGTTCTGAATCGCCCGATTAAGTCGCCCGACTCGCAACATTAAGAATTTAAAAAGGCATCTTCTTGTGGCTTTCCCAGAAGAGGATACATCTTCACTTGGTGTTGTTGCTTTGTGGGAGGAATGAAAGTAAATAATCTGATATGCGTATATATTTTTGGTATTGTCAAATAATCCATTACATCATCATTCACAACGATTTCGATATTTTTCTTCTCATGAGTTTGAGGTCTCAAGCTCGGCCGTCGTCGAGTCAACCACGGTAGTAAGTGCCATCTTTGCATAGATTTAGTTTGCTTGTATTTCATTTAATTTTTGTAGGTTTTATCAGTTTGTTTAGAGAAGTTGCATATAATGATCTCTTGTTTTTTTATGTGAAACCCAAGCCCGTATCATTTCAGATAGGAGTTTGCTTCAGTCGTGTTGGGTAGATTGTAGATGCTATACGCACAATTCTTGTTATATTATTTATTCATTTTTAGAACTGATCTTGATGTTTCTCTTTGTTTTGTTTTCCATTTTATTTTTTGGAACACAACACTCGGTGGAGACAGATTGCAAGTCTTGCTGCATTTTCTTCCATTTTTTGGATTTGTAATACCGACTAATTTATATGTTGAATAATCTGAATTCATATTCTAGAATGTAGATTAAAATGTTGGAACTAATTAAATTAAGTACAACAATGTCATATGATTTCAAGATGGCTCTTAAATCTTCTTTGTAAATATTAATTTTGTTCGGAGCGATCCGAAAATTTGTTTCTTACTTTTAGATGAAACGCTGAAAGATTCATCATTCACTTTGGCTTCTCCAGTGCCATAGGAGAAGAAAGATTCATCATTGTTTGATACAAATACATACAGAAAAAAGTTCAATGCAAATGGAGAAGGGAAAGATTATAATTATATTGTTCTAAATGCCAGAAAGGAACTGCAATTGCTTGAGGAGAGGGCTTAGAGTCTCCATTAATTTTTCAGATGGATGGTTGTGAATCCCTTCATATGTTGTCACCACTATGGTTGGATCCTTTGAGTGCCTTTGAATTTGTTTCTTAACGTTGCATGTATGATGTGTACACCGGTAATAGCTCCTAAAACAAATCAAACAAAAGAAAAAGAAACCCACTTTCCAAAGTGAGAATTTAAACAAGTTTTTTTTAACATGTTAACTCATATTAAGTTATTAGTATACATCAATTTAGTAGACACAATAACAAATTTTACCTTTCTTTTCGTGTTTTTCTTCCATCAACTTATAAGGAAAGAAATTATACACACACGCATGATTTGAGTAATCAACATAATTATCTATTACTTGTCAATTTAAGTGTAGTTCAACTCTCACGTTCAACTCAACAACATTAAAAAAAAAAGCTCGCGGATTGATGCCCACATTCTCAAATAACATGCATCTTTGAACCACTTTCATTTCTTTTTTCCCCCTTTCGTCAACTTATATTAGTGTTTGGGCACTCCATTTTCTCTTCACAAATCTGAAGACTGAGACAAAATGACAACAAACAAAACAAAAACATATACATGTACCTGGGATGTGTGCTATGTTTGACAGCCTTCTGACCATATTTCCTCCATCTGTAGCCATCATCAAGAACATCCTCAGCACTCCTTGTCTGGAAAGCAATCCTAGGCACTACTGCACTGCTACTTCTTTTGCCCATCATCATTTTCCCTTTGTTTTTCCCTCCATTATTACCCTCATCTCTTCTTCCAGCTCCACCATCAAAATCCCCCATTTTTATCCCCTCACTTCCACTTGCCTTCTCCATCTCCAAACTCAAAGACGAACCACAGAGCAGCCCTTCCCAGTCAATTTCATCACAGCTTTGGCTGAGAGGAAGAAGCTGTGTGTGTGTAATATCACCATTGGTGGGTGCACTCAGCAGCTGTGAAATATTGTCACCATCCATTACCATTAGGGTTCTACCAGAAAAAAAATGGAAAACTCAGATTCAAAACTTTATATATATGTTTACACAGAGAGTTAGAGAAAGGTGTTCTTTTGGGGTGGGGCAGTTGAACAGAATTAGTAGGTAAGTGTTTGTTGGGTTTAACATAGTTTCAAGCTATGTTTTTGGCTCAGTTAATTTTTTTTTCTCTCTCTCTTCTTCCGGATATTACTAAAATATTAAATATAATCTATCAGGTTAAACTTTAATTTAGTTTAACATGACAATAGGTATATGTTCAAACTTTTGTAATTACTGTTATTTCCTTCTCAACACACTCGCTTGTTGAAAAAGTTATTAAATCTAGTCGTCAAAATATTGATTATCTCCCTAATAATTATTGGAAGCAAAGTTCGAAATCTAAATTTTAATTTCTCTCTCATACATTTAATGGCATATAGAATTGACTATCACATTTTTTTTAAAGATACGAGATAATTCATTGAAAAGTATGTGAGGAACGTACAAAAGAGAGGCGATATGAAAGCACTCTAATTAAGTGATATGGTAAAAATATCATAATCACAAAAAGGAGAAATCTTGGAGGACCTCAAAGATGAGTGAACGGCAAATCACCGTAAGAGAATATTCAGTTGTTTCACTCCAACCAAATGTACCATAAAAGCGAGTTCACTATAGAATACCAAAAGGTAGCCTAATATTCGGCTATCACAATATTGTTTCCAGCCCTTTCAAATATTTCCTCCAATTGGTAAGCCTGGTGCAAATTTTCAAATCCACGAATAATAAAAGTATATTAATACAAGATTTAAATAAACTATAGTGTGTCAATTTAAAATTTAAAATTTTCACGGTAGTTTAAATATCTCGTTTTATAGATCAATCCGAGCATAACTTTAAGTGGATAAGAAACTTCAATACCATCTCAAATAGTAGATATATAGTTCGATTAAAAAAAAATCACTTTTTTATATGTGATGGCTTGTGATAGAGAGATGTTGATGATGTTGTTAAACGGCCTGAAGGGGAGAAATGGGGGGTTGTGGTAGTTTGGAAAAAAATTAAATTGGTTTCAAATTGTCACAAGTAATTAATTAAAGCAACTTTATGGGATATTCATCTTAAGAATATGGTTAGAGTCAAAGCCCATGTTTCTTTTAACATCTAATCCAATTATTATTACCCCACTACCTCTTCATTTAATTAATTTCAATTCATACCATTAAAATTTCATGCTTTTAATGCACAACTTGATTTTTTTTTCCTTTTTATTTTGATTTGCATGTCGCATCATATGTTATTTTGTCTATGTTCATTATTTTCTTCTTTAAAAGAAAACTAGCAAACATAGTTTTAATATTATTTTGTTAGTCATTTTGTTAAAAAAATTTTAAGATTAAATATTATTTTTTGTCCCGAACTTTCAGAACTATTTTTTATTTTAGTATCTTTAAACTTTCAAAATTTTTATTTCGATGTTTTGAATTACTTACCCGTTTATTTTATTTTAATTACTTTTAACAAATTGGATAGGATGGTTTTCGAGTATATATTTATCATTTCCCTTATAATATAACACAACGTTTATTATTACTATTCTATCGCACAAACATTATTTTGGAAAAAGACTTTAATATCATTTAATAAAATAGTGCGGATTCACGGTAGTATGATATTATTTATTTTAATTAGATTATATATAAGTCCACCTATATGACTTTATTTTTCGAATATACCAATAATAATAATAATAAATAAATAAACCTCCCACTTTTAATCAATGGGTCTCTTTAGTTGCACCAGTAACAACTAATATATTTCTCCACACAAAAGGTCAATGTACCGCGACACATCTTAGGTTGAATAATATAATCTAATAACTATTTATTTTTTGTTTTCTATTTTCTTAAACTATATGTTTTTTTTTTACAATTTCATTGTTTAGGACCTTGAGATCTCAAGTTCGAATCTAGTTATAGAAATCGGGTAGCGTATGCCACACGATATCAATTAAAAAAAAAAGTTTTTCACCCCTCTTGATAACATATTTGAATTCTGAACTAGATTTTAAAAACAAAACTACTCTTTATTTTTTAAAAAATTTGATCTAGATTTTGAAAAATAATTTTAAAAACTTATATTGCAAACTAAATAACTCGTAGATGAAAGATGAAAGTAATTTTTCCAAACTTAATTTTTAAAAATAAAAAACGAAATAGTTATCCAAGAGAGAAAGTAAAAGTAATAGTAATGATGATTTAGCCTTGTAATGCATAAAATTATCCTCAATGAATTATTATTGTTAAGAAAAACTGACCCAAAATCATAATGTTGGTCAATTGCAAGACCCAAAACCAGATTCGTCTCCACCATAAAATCCATCATGAAATCTCATTTGAATGTTAATTCGGTATTGTTATACTAAATATCTGCAAGTTTCTATCAAATCAAATTTATCAATAATTACACACCACTTAATAATATGTTAAAGTGCATGTGCAACCAACTTCTTATCCTCCCTCGCATTTCTTTTTTCTTTTGAAATAAAACTTTTATGTTCTCACATTAATAAAATTAATATAGCTATGACATTTCGAAGCAAGAATCATAATAGGGATTATACTCTCTATCCTCAATCTTACGAACATTTTTCATATCTCACTCTTCGACTTTATAATTAGTGACATTGGTCAATTACTGTCAGACTACACTCATGTATGCCATTTGAGATTGATGAATATAATAAAGATAGAATTTTTTTTCATCTACCTCCGATTTGAGTAACTCGATTCATTTTCAATGGGCGTTACATTTTTGTCAAATCCTTAATCCCTTTGAGTGTGAACTTGTATGAAATTTACTCTTCAATTAATTAATAATGAGTTAATAACGTTAATTGCTTGTCCTTAATCCCACCATTTGAGGTCAAGAAATGGTAGGAAATTAAAGTCCTTACCTTTGAATATATATCCCATTTCCTCATTTTTGTTCAACTCAAAAACTAAAAAAAGATCTAACCATTTTCATTGCTTTAAATTTACGATCCAAAATACACAAATAATCTAACTAAACCCTGATCATCAATTGCTCTTTTCTGATGAACGAGTTTTACAATTTCGAATTCACATTATATAAAAACGAACAATATTATCTCTTTGAAGAACCAAAAAAAAAAAAAAAGAGAACTTTGTTTGTCATCCAAAAAGCAAATAATCCTCCAACCCAGGAAACAGATCTTGAGTGGAGATTCCGAAGGGCAGATTGATGAGAACATCGCCGCCGGCGAGGCCCTCCGGCGGGTGTTCTTCAAATTCAAAGGACGCTGCAGAAGTAGAATTGTTGGGTGAGGAGGAGGAGAGAGGAATGTTGTTGTTTTGCGGCGGCGGAAACTTCTTACGGGTGGTGCCGGCGAGGGCGTTCCGGCGAGTTGGCTCGGAGTGGTTGTGCTCCGCCGTGTAGGTGACGAGGAAAACGTCGGGATCGGAGAGGCTCCGTTCAACTTGCTTTCTGGCGGAGCAGCCTTTGGAGGAGCTGCATCTGTAGTAGCTTCTTGGATATGGCGACCCTTTTATTGGTTTCTGTCCATATTTTCTCCATCCCCATGAATCTGAGCATACGCTATCCGCTCTCACCTCTTTCACAACTCTATTCTGCTTGCTTTTCTTGCTGAAACACAAAAAAACCGACTCAATTTTAACTTTAAACTTGTAGTTTCTTTGACCTAGATAAAATTTTTCTTTATATTAACTCGAAATCGATGGTATATATGGCTTTGTTAGTTGAATCTCTATAACGGAGAGATGTCGACGGCCACTCAAAGTGGAGAAATTGACATTATCACAGTTTTAAAATAGTTGGGAAAATTCTCGATTTCCCGGATGAAAATTTTTAGTCGGGAAAAGTCACTCCCAACGTTTTTAAGGCTTTTTCCAACATTTTAAGATATTAAGAAAAATCATATTTCTTGTAGTGGTAAACGCTTGCGAGGCTCACCTCCGAGTGGGAGGGAGAGGGGAAAGCCCCAGCTATATGCCCTACGGGACTCGAATTGGAGATAGGGTAATCCCCATTCAGTCACAAGTCCACTACTCTACCACTGTCGGTGGTATTTAATATGAGATGAAATTAGAAAATTGCTTATGAATCAACCCATAAATCATATACAATTCACCTAATAAAGCACCTTAACTTCATGTTACAAACACCTAAATCCAATCATGAAAATATTTGAATCTTGTAGTTAAAACCTTCAGACTTAATTAATGGCAAGATGCGTTTAAATCTTATAGTTAAAATACCCAACACAATTTGAAGAACTACGATCAACGAAATTCATTGTAACTAGCATGAATATAGCTCAACCGATTAAGACATTACACGTTATAATCAATTAATCAATTAATCAATTAAGGATTTTAATTGAATCACTTGAGGATTGAATCATGAAAGTAATTGGAGGGTAAAGATTGAATTTTTTTAAAAAGAAAAACAAAAACCATATTTGAACGGAAATTTGAAGAGTACCCACCTTTGTTTCTGTTTAGTTGGTACGATTTGCTTCTTGTGATGAAGCTTTTCTGGCTCCTTGAGCTCTCTCAGAAGATCAGAAATGGAGGCAGAATTGTTGGGATGAGGAATCAACGGATGCAACACTGGGTAAATCGAACAACTCCCAACTCCTTCTTCAAATTCAATATTATTTGAAGAACTACAAGTTGCTGTGGTTTCAGGATAAACACAAGAAAAACCATCTTCCTCGCTCAGAAAAGAATAGAAATCAGGATCTTCCATCAGAGTTGAAAAACTTGGTCTGCTGCTGCATCCATTTACAATAGCTTGCAAATCCCAGTCCTCCATGGATGCAAAAATATATATCACAACCAAAAATTCAGAAGATTATTGAAGAAGAAGAAGCTGAATCTGAGGGGGCTGACTTTGAAAAGTTTGGAGCTTTTAATTTGGGAAATTAAATTTGGCCAAAACTCGTGTGTTTAAATAATTGAAGAAATGGGATGTTGTGATGTTTGTGAAAGCTGTCGTTTGGAGCTGGCTTTTGTCTTGCTGTTCTTTAATCTGTATTTCCATTGACTTTGTGAAATGTCAACGGGTTTAAAAACTGGTTTTTATTCATTTCTAAATAGTTTAATGTGTGAAGAGAAGAGAAATGATTTGTTTATTTATTTATTTTAATAATCTTAATATAGTCTTGTGTTATTTTCAAAACTTTTTTTTTTATTTTTTTATGAGTGGACATATAGTTGTTATGGACCCTTTTGATGATTCTAATTGTCCATGTTAGCAAGCTTTCTCCTTAAATACCCTCAATTAATGGCTTTGAAAATATGTGTGTCGTCATATTTTATTTTCTTTTCACCAACCTACAATTTTCAAGGGAGAGTAATAATTTAATTGGGTGATAAATATTTTTCAAGGTTACTATCATTCTCTGTTAATTAATTAATGATGTTTTAATTGTTAATTAACGATCCCTACCAATTAATTTTGAGTTGAAATTTATGAATATTGATATGGATATCAGAATAACCTAACACTTTCAAACGAGCATCCGATAAAAAAATATTGGGATCTGGTCAAGATTGATGAAACCAAAAGAGAAGAGTAATCTACTTATGGTATAAACCTTGTTGGGTCACATGATCTTTCAAATATGTGATCCTTAACTCGCCCTTTCAAATACTCGTAGAGATGGACTCATGAATCTTGATATAGTATCAGAGTCTAATAAGCTCAAATGAACCTCCGAACAAAAAATGAGATCTGACCCAAGAGTTGCGAGCCCAAAAGAGCTACTATCCTCAGGGGCATGTTAAGTATCCACATTGAAATTGAAAAGATAAGAACCTAACAAAAGTTTATAATATATATTGACTACCCATCTTATTGCTAATGGTTTTGAGATAGAATCTTATAAATAGTCATATTAATATCTTAGGTAGGTGATCACGTCATAAAGTTTTGGATTTATTCCTCTAAAGTCCTAATTTTTTCCATTCATGCTCTAAGCCACTAGAATAAACCTTTAGTGGTTCAACGGTATCGGTCTCTATTAAATCCCTACTCGATCTACAAACTAAAGTTAAAATATAGACGAGGTTAGGGGTTTTCCAAATATAAGCTTGTCTATAACACGAGACCAAGTACATGGACAATTAATACAAGTCATTATAGTAAAAATAACATTTCAAAAAGGTTGGAACTTAAGGATTTTACTTCTCAAAACTATATATATATATATATATATATCATCACACCACTCGAACTTAAAAATTTAATAAATTGATAGATCAATATACTTTTATCAACATATTCATAATTCCCTTTGTATCGACATCGACTAATATCAAAAATCCGATCGTATCGGTCCATGAACAATAATAGATCTCAAAAGTGGACGTGAGAGGGAGAGAGATCAACATCATATAGGTTGCTCCCCTCCCTCCCTTTGCCCTTTGCCCTTTCCCACGCTTTGCTCCCATTACCTATATATGTATGTATAGTTCCAATCTTTGGCATTGCTTTCCGACTTTCCTTACTTTTTCAGTCAAAAAAATCCACTGCCTAATCCCAAATCTATTATCAAGAAGCTT